CGGGGCCTTTCCTCTCCTGGCCTCTCTCAGTGCAGAGCTGGGCGCGCAGCCCTGGGAAGCGGCCTCCTCCTCCTCCCCTCGCAGCAGCACCAAACTCTGCAGCGCGACACTGACACCACCAAGTGTCATTTGCCATAAAAAAAGAAGGGGAAAAAACCTCATTTTTTTGTCCAGCTCAAGTGAAACCCCCCCCCGCCCTCAGCCTGGAGGCGCCTAATGCTTCTCCTCAGACAGCACAGAGGGCCCAGGCTGTCTTGCAACTCTTTATTTGCCCCTCATGGAGCCCATGGTGCAAATCACTGCCAGTTATTTGAATTTTGGTACCCGGCAAAACGCGACTCGCGGCCCTGCGATAGCCGGCACGGGTCCCACCCTCGCATCTCTGCCCAATTTGCTGGGGATTTTTCTTCCTGTGCATCTCCGTGCCTTAAAAAAACCTCGGCTGCCTCTGAGGGATTACAGAACGAGTCCTGCCTAATAAAACAGGAGCTAATGAGAAACATACGGGACGGTTTGAGAAAAAGAAAACAGCTTGTCGAGCAAATACCGCGCTAGACGAGGGTGCCCAATGCGATTTTTGTACCAGAAACAATACAATCGTGGGCGGCGTCCCACCAAGCGAGGTTGTATCCTGTATTTTCCTTGCAGTTCTCCTTACTCCTTGAAATACAAGTTGTCACCCTTCCTGTAAGCTACCTAGAAGAACGGATACGCGCACAAAGGGAAGTGTCAAGCCACCTCGACTGTGATGATCGTAACACAGCAATACACCGGCCGCTTGACTGTCTAATATGGTTTGGTTTTGCCTACGGAGCGAGGACCACGTTATGTAACAGGATCGCGTTGTACTGAAGTCAATGTAGCGACACCAGTTCACGCCGGCAAGCTGAGTGCGTGGGTCGAAATACAACGAGCATGGTAAATGGCATGATATATTAGGAGCGGGGAAAAAACAATCAGAGACAGAGAAATAGAGCGGGCAGTATAGTATGTAGAGATAAACGAAAAAAGTAGCCATACCTTTTAAGTGTTAGAGATGATGCTGAATCAAAACCCGCCACAAAAATAATCTTTGTGCATTTCAACAACCCCCTCTCATACATGAGACCGAAGCTTCAAACACCTTGAAAATTCAGACAAAATTGCCTCTGGCTCCAGATCA